ATCCCCCCCCCCCCCCCCCCCCCCCCCACACACACACACACCCTCACAAGTACCTGGATACGAGGCTGGGAACACCAGGATGAAATGTTCTGTTTGTCAAAAATACCCAATTCACCATTTGGCCACTGTATTGGTGTTTTAAGCCAATGTGTAAATAATAAGCGTGTTTGGTTAATTAATCATTCTGGCCTGGAAATGGGCCATTCCATTTAATATAGGCAGCCCCCCCCCCATTGAGGGGTCTGGTTATCCTATGGGGGGGGGGGGGAGAGGGGTTTTTTACCTTAAAATTTCCTAGAGGGTAGCTTAAGAAATTTCCCAATAAATAGCAAAAATTAGGTGTTTTAGTGATATCCAAGGGGGTAAAAACGATATTAACGGTATAAAGAAATCCATGGGGTAACTTCCAAAAATCACATCCAAGGGGGTTCTAAAATTTTTATATCCTAAGGGGATTATGAAGGGACCCCTCAATGGGGGGGGGTGCCTATATTAAATGGAATGGCCCAAGAGTAATAACCATATCTATTCACTCCTGGATACAAATAGTCTAAATTTCACTCTAGATTCGATCTCTAAAATAATTTGACATTATTCTCTTACTTTTACTTACCCGGTCAGGCAAGACTTTACACAAACACTTGTGGCACATATCAAAGCTTAAACTTACTTTGTGATAAAGTTTAACAATTTACAAAATTGAAAACCACGAAATTTTTAATATACTGTACCCACGTGAAAATTTTAAAATTGTCAAATTTACATCTATACGAACTATGCACCCCGGGTTTTTGTATTCGAACTATAGACCCGGAGAATTTCTCCTGGGAAATAATTCTCGTATACGGGCTATGTACCTGGTCCTTAAAGCCGAGAGAAGGATTACCCGGTTACAGAGAAGTGGTGAAAAATAAAATGGAGTTATATTTCCAGTTAGCCACCATTTGCTGCTCTGAAATTCTGTTTAAACTGTCAACGTTTCTGTGAACACAGTAGGAATTTTGCATCGGTAAATTCTAAGTTTTTGAAGGATTTGTAAGGCACTTGTAAGAATCTATGGCTATGCAAAATTCTTTCTGTGATCACAGAAACTTTGATAGTGTAATGACTAATGAGTAATGTGCCTTCTCTGAAATTCAACTCAACCAATATTATTTTAAATATTTCGGCATAATTTTGTGCGACACAAAACGAATAAACACTCTCTGATTTTATTGTTTTGTTAGAACTAAAACAGCGGACGGGACGAGACCACATTCTTTCAGAGTTTTCTCCATGTCCACTGCAGTGAATGTTTTCTTGGGAAATGTCGTTGACAGCGCAAACGGTTGAGCGCCGTCAGTTCTGTTAGCCTCGACGTGAGAGATGATACTTGATAGTATGTCTGTTGGTTTAAATGTTCCCGTGATAGCCGTACCATCGGTTAGACGAAACTAAAACAAATAGAAGATATGGTGAATGTTTCATCTCATCAGGCTAACTCCAAATTACAATTTTGTTTTACTTCAAAACTTAGTTGATTCTAAGAAGACCTCCGTTAAGGTTACAGAACACCTTTGAGTGTTAATTTTGCCTAAAATGTTTTTATTGGTTTCCATGAAAGCATTAGACTAGTTCTACTATCTGACCAAGTTTGAACGAAAAATGTTGAAAACTCGCAGAGTTATTTAATAAAATACATTTCGCTGCAATAAGAAAAACATTGAAAATGTAATATTCAAATTCAATTTTCTCCCGAAAAATTTTACGGTAATTACTGATTTTCAAACGAGTTGTGCTCCTGCGGCTTTTAACCAATTTTTCTCAAATTTTCACAGGACATAGCTAAAGACGTCAGTTTCAAAATAGTGTTCGGCTTTTTTTAAATTTTGGATATTTTAAAAATAAAGAGCAATTCACTCAAATAAGTAACAAAAATTTCCGAACACAATATTTTAGAACAACTATTTTACTGTATAAAAATGATATTTTCATAAATATAACTTAAAACCAGCAGCAGGTCAATTTCACATGAGACATTGAAAATGGCAAAATTGCAAAATGCAACATTATGTGGTGCTAACCACATGTTTCCATAGTTAACACATTGGATTATCATAAATCAAAACGAATTTTGAATTTTGGCCCATGCCCACTCTGCGGCAAACCGTCGAATCTGCACTTGTTTGTTGCTATTGTTCTGTGGATAAAGTGTGTTTATTTAAAATAATTATAACTCAGTCACTTTAACTTTGAAATAAGTTATATTTCTTAACAAACACAGTCTAAGGTTCACATATCATGATGACAATGTTAGATCAGACAATATCCAGTGTTGCTGTGATTTATGGTACATCGAAGTTTGGGTAAGAGAAATGTAATGTCTGCAACAAAAAAACAATTCAATTTATTTTTCAACCAAACGTCTAGCTCTTTTGACATTATATTTGTGCTGCTTTTTTAAAATGGTATTAACATTATTTTAGACTGGAAAAAGACAATAAAAAGTATTAACATGTCTTGAATAATGTGTTGCGGACATTACGTTGCAGACATTACATTTTTGAAATTGGAGAATTAGATGCTTATATAATTTTCTTGCTTGAGTTCTATAGTTATTTTAAGCTTGATGACTTAAAAATAGAACATTAAAAGGACTATGGGACCCTTACTTTTAACTATAATCACTCCGTGCTGTATACACAATCACAGTGACACAATTCATCATGGAAAGTTTCCAAGTTACATATAATGCCACTATCGTATACTGCCATTGTACCATCAGTTTTGTAAGGCATATGTTGTTAAGAGCAAAATCATGTTTTAATTCATGTTTGTTTTGATCATCTTCCACTAAACCCAGGGGTGTTAATTATCCCCACCAAATGTAGTAAATGCAAAACTGTCAAATAGAATGGTCTACAAACATGACACTTTATTTGCTGCACAACCCGAGTCATTGCCTGAGTCTATGCGCAACAAATATTGCACTTTTGAAAGATATTATTGTCAACAGAAGATTATATACTGTAATATATGTGACCATGATTTCATCCCAGGATTTATGGTGGTATACACATGGGCATACAGGAAGAAAAAAATTAGGGGGGAGGAAAGAAATTTGCCTGACTTTTTCAGATTGTGCCCGCGTTGTTAAAAAAATTTCCGGAGAAACTTTCCAAAATTGTTGTCGACGGGGGGGGGGGGGGGGACTAGTGATTACGAAGAATTCCTATTGGATAGATAGCATATTTCCCACAAAATTGACAGAATTCCCCACAAAATTGACAGAATTTGTCCCATTTATTTTTATAATAAGCCAATATTGCCCAAGTGTGAAGCGAATATTGCCCGACTGGCTTTGTTTGCCTAACAAACTGGACTGCCGCCCCCTCCGCCCCCCGCCCGGTACGCCCATGGGTATACAAATGTAAGTAGAATTAAGCTAGAATGCCTGTTATGTGGACTAGAAACATTGAAGTGCATAATCAGTCACCCAGTTTTGATTTCCTATCATTTTTAATACAGATTGCTATACAATCCCAAAAATGTAATGTCCGCAACAGTTTCAGTGTAATGTCCGCAACACAAACTTTGCACTATAAAAGCTGCGCAAGGGCATTGTAGAACATCTCGTTTTCATATTTTTTAACCCCAATTATCACTGAGAGCAGGAAGTGTTTTAGTTCCTTTGATACCTTTCAAAGTTCACAGGAAATTACATTTTAAAAACATCACTTGAATGTGTGGTTGATTTTGCTGTAATGTCCGCAACAGTACTTTGACTTTTTATTACAAGAATTGATTACGAGGGAATTTTGT